TAAGCGACTGCCTTCGGCTCGGGTCATGATCCTGGAGTCCCGGGATCAGGTCCCGCATCGGGCTCCCTGCTCGGCAGGGAGTCTGCTTCTCCCTCTGACCCTCCCCCTTCTCATGTGCTCTCTCTCTCTCATTCTCACTCTCTCAAAATAAATAATAAATAAATCTTTAAAAAAAAAAAACATAGTCATGGGCATTTGCCATGTTTCTTCAAAAGTGTATATTCAAATTTGTGTCTGTTTTTCCACTTAACATGATACAAACACATGACCAGGGAAAGTACTCATCCCAATCAGTAACTCTGTTTTTCTGAAAATGCCCTAAAAACCACCAGATGCTTAAAAATTCCTATCCAAATCTTCCAACACAAAGAAAAAGTGCTACTTCCTTGCTTGTAGCTAATAATTCTAAAGATTTTTTGAAAGGGTATTCTTAATTTCTCTTGGAAATATATGGTTTTTTAAAATGTTCCATTTTTTGACGGATTTACCCCTACAGCCCTATTTGACTTCTTTCTATTGCTACATTGTGATTTTTTTTAATCGTTAATTTAGTGCATAATAATTAAAAGACCTGTGAACCCACTACTTTAATTTTAGTGCCTACATCAGTGTTTCTCAACACCAGCCATAAACTAAAATCATCTGGGAAGTGTTTGTAATGTTCTGCTGCTTGGGTCCCTACTGGCTGAAATTCTAATTTAATTGTCTGGGCTGGAACCCTAGTTTGTTAGTAAAGGCTGCAGGTCGTTCTAATACTCAACCAGGAGTCTGAGAGGAATGCTGACCTAGATCTAGGAACTCACTTTTTTGTTCCCCATAAAATCCACCTATCATCTAGCTCCATCTTCCCTCCTCCAAATACCCATATCTCACTCAGGTTATGGCTGGAACCCTGATTGGGACAGTCATGGGGAAGCAGATAAACTTAAGTTCAGAGCACCTAAACACACCCCCCTTACCATACTTCTTAATATTGACAGCTCCTCTTTCCCGAGCCACTATTGTGTGCCAGGCATTGTCTAAGGACACTGCACACATCAACTCAGTCAATCCTTACACAACCCTTCCATGTTAGGTATATAGCATTTTTTAAATGAAGAAGCTGAGGCTTACAGAATTTAACCATCTATTCTGCCCAGAACATCCCACTTCCTGATTTTCCTGTCAAGGTCCTCTTCACAAAAGCATGACCTTCATGGGATGCCTTTCTGTGCATTAGGGTGGCCCCAGAAATCCCAGAAGCACTTCTCCTGACTTTGAGGAGTCCTGACCACCAAGGCTAGAGAAGGTTGGAGTGAGGTAGAAATCAGAATAGGCAGAGCTTCTCTGCACAGGGATTGAGCTGAAGGAGAAATAGGGCAGTATCTTTAGAAACAAAGAGAAGGGGAGATTAGCATAAGGGCTCCTGAGAATATTTTCTTAGGGATACAAAGTAATTCCCACTAACTCAGAATTTATTGAATTATTGACAAAACTTAGAAATTCTTTATATGTCCATAGCATAGTGCGTATTGATGCCAGTTGTGCTATGAATTAACACCCAGTTTAAATTCTAGTCCTGTCCCACTTTTACCTCTGCTCTCAATTATCCTCTAACTCAATGTTTGGTTTTTTTGTTTGGTTTTTTTTTTTTAGATTTTATTTATTTATTTGGGAGAGAGAGAGTGAGAGCATGAGGTGGGGGGGAGGGAGAGGAAGAAACAGACTCCCCACTGAGCAGGGAGCCTGATGCCGGGCTCAATCCCAGGACCCTGGGATCATGACCTGAACTGAAGGCCGACGCTTAACCGACTGAGCCACCTAGGCACTCCTAACTCAATGGTTCTTTAAAAAGAATCATTTGGGCACTTTTCCAAGAGTAGATCCCCAGTGCCATTTTCCCAGAGAAAAGCCTGATTCAGAAATGTGATGCTCAGGCATCTGAATATCTAACTGGCACCCTCACCAAGTGGTTCTGATCTACAATTTGCATCCACTAATCAGACCTGTATCGTTGGTTTGCTGCTCCCTTTCTCATGATCTCAGCAGCCATTCCATACTCTCTCTCCTCTTGTTAAGCAACAATGTCTCCTTCATTGTTAGCAGGTGTATTATCTGTTACTGTGTAACAAAGTACCCCTAAAGTTAACAACCTGAAACAACAGCATTTATTATCTCATAGTTTCTGTGATTTGGGAATTCAGGAATGGCTTGCCTGGGTGGTTCAGCTTAGAGTCTCTCATGAAACTGCAGTCAAGCTGTCGGCTGGAGCTGCGGTCTTATCTGAGGCCTCAACTGGGGGGATCTACTTCCAAGTTCACTCCCACAACTTTGAAATACCTCAGGCCCTTGTTGGCTGTTGACTGGAGACTTTGGTTCTTTCCCGTGCCGGTCTCTCCATAGGCTGCCCGAATGTCCTCATGACATGGCAGCTGACTATCCCAAGAGGGGCGATCTAAGAGAGTGCACCGAAGAAGAAGTTACAGTCTTTTTATAAACTGATCTTGGAAATGACATACCATAGTGTATTAGTTTGCTAGGGCTGCCATCACAAAATACCAAAAATTGGGTGGGTTACAACAATAGAAATGTATTGTGTCACAGTTC